AGCTGTAGCTCGCGGTATACTGAGCCTAGGGTAACGGGAGGACGCTAGTTTGTGTCCTTCCGTTACCCTAAGGAGAACTATGGGGAAAAGCCTTAACCCCATAGTTCTCCTTTAAGCTTTAACCAACCAGTATGTTTTTGGTTGGTGGGAGAAAACTGGAGAGGATAGCATATGAACCACAAACTCCATGCAAATTGTTGAAATGGAATCCAGGACCCAGACCTTTGAATGCAAGAGTGCTCATCACTCCCCACCACGTTCCTGCCCTTCACAGAATTGGACAATATTTATACTACATCCTGTCCCAGCTAAAGTTTTGTTTTCAATGTTATGAAATGACAGTACGCCACCCTGGCAGTATGCGACACCGGTCTGATAGCAGGATTCATTCCCCGTACCTGGAAATGGCTGGCTATTATTAGCCCTTCTTTTAGTAGGGGTTTGTGTAAGACATTTGATGTTCTGTTCCTTAACAGAGACATGATTCATGCTACTTGTAGTAACACTGAGAACCTCTGAGCCAGACAGAAACCTAACTCAGACAAAGGTCTGTGAAATCAATGCCGTCTGTATAGAAAGCCTCTTGACACCGCACTTTGGCTGTTCGGCGTTCCGGTGAGGAGACGATGCACAGGTTGGGAAACCATGAGGACTCCTGGCCCCCCGGGCACTGGCTGCGAAGTGACATTATCTTTGGCGCGCCGGTGGGAGAGGAATCTTGATATCCCAGCTTGTTTTATCTGCTGCATTAATCACTGTGCTTTCAACAGATTCAAGTCATGTGATAAAGTCATGTAAACCCTAACTGAATAAAGTTTGATTTGTTAAAAGCACTATGTATCAATAAATAATTGCCGGTATTTCCAAATAAAAGACAGTTTTCCACTTCATGATTACATGTAGTTCAGTGATGATTGTATGGTAGACAATGGACCATTACCTTCAAACCGAGTGCTCGCTGCATTCCCCAAGTCCACACCTCAGGATGTAAAACCACACTGAGTGAAAAAGAATTCTTTATCATCCTGGATGAGAATAATGGATGCTGACAGGTCCCTCTTTTGTATAAATGTCTCTATTTATCGATCAATGGGACATCACTGTGAAAGCATCTAAAGGAGACACTGGAATATCGTGATCTATCAGTGAGCTTTTGGGATATCAATTAACAGCCATCTTATTGTGGTGAGTGTGCACTCTTGAGGGGGTGACTACGTGGCACAAACACAATCTCTGGAGAGATCATCAAGCACTTTTGGGACTTGATATTATTTCACATTTTGGATATACATTAAAGGAGAACTATGAGGGGGGGTGCTTTTCACTCCCCTCATAGTTCTAGCCGACCTGTGACAATGAGACTGTCACGAGTCGGCTCAGTAGATCGCGAGGTGAGCGAACACATACCGGCGTTCGCTCACCTCTCGATCCTGTCACGGCTCTCTGCCGTGACAGGGGAGGGGCTGGATTCCCCCCTCCCCGCTCCAACCCGCCAGCACTGACTGGCGGAACGGAAGGGGGAGGGGGCGGGTACAGCTGGCTCTGCCTCTAGATAGGCAGAGCCAGCTGTCAGTCACGCAGCTGGGCGGATCCCGGCACAATTGTCGGGATCCGCTTCAGCTGCGGCGTCTCAGTATACCGCGAGCTGTAGCTCGCGGTATACTGAGCCTAGGGTGACGGGAGGACGCTAGTTTGTGTCCTCCCGTTACCCTAAGGAGAACTATGGGGAAAAGCCTTAACCCCATAGTTCTCCTTTAATAGTTTCACCTATGGATTATGGACTGATCACTTTGGATATGATATAAACAAGTGGAATTATAAGGCTTATGTTTAAAGGCACATATATTTATAAGATAATCAATTCACTTTCTATGTAGATATGTATGATTATACCAACTTTTTGCACATGTTAATCTTTGCACAGGCATATTTTGCACGTAATGTGCTTTTTTGCATTTTTTTTGCACATTTTTCATTTAGTGACTATTAGGTTTTAATGTATATAATATATATACAATATTGACTGTTATTTACTAACCAATCACCTTTAGAATAGATCCATCTAATTAGCTGCCTATTGGGCCCCTAGCGCTGTACATTTATTTATATTGATAACTGGACCAGGTTGTCTATAGTGCAGCAGCTTCCTATCGATAGTCTGTTGAGGAATATTCCAAAGCGCAGAATTTTAACAACCTTTTAGACAATGGACCATGCCTAAGTATTGAAATGGTCACTTGTAGTCTCCATTGGAAGTGTGTGTGACGGGGGACAACTCAAAGTGGCAAATTCAAGAAGGGTTTTTCAAATGAGATCCAAATGTTAAAGTTTATGTGATATTTTAGTGATTGGCTTTTACATCTACTTTAAAAGTCAAATAAACCCAAACAGCAGAAACACGTACCTGGGAGGTCTTTCATCTGCCAAAACATTTGGAATGTGTATTTTGTCCTCACCACATTCTGTGCTATTTGGCCTCAAAGCAAAATAAGAGGCAACACGTTAGGTTCTGCAGTTCTATACGCTGCTACTTACTAAGAATGCATGCTGCCCCCCGACTCCTGAGAACGCATGAAATAACAGAGCTTCCTATTTCCTCATTCTTCTGTAGGGCTCTGCTATTTTATAATGTTATGCGCACTCAAAAGCTGATAGACAGCTTGTCTTGTCACTTCAACAGCTAGATAAACCAGATGTTTATATCTAAAACAGAGACTCCCATATTGAGATCTCCATATTGGAATTCCCACAAGAATGGTGCTTTTCTGCCTTCCTCTGCCCTAATCACAGCTATGACTAAGGCCGAGTAAGGCAGAAGCGTGTCAGCTGTTGTTTTTTGTATAGATGCATGAGGAATAAAGTTTAATTTTATTTGGAAGATCATTGTGTGCTGGTTCTACAGTTTTTGAGACTATCACACCAGAGGAGGGAGGGTCATGCGTGCTCCGAATGTGGATGATGAGAATGCATGACAGGGGTGAGCTGTGCGCTTTGTGTTTCTAGTCCACAAATTGATGGTGCCAGTATTCTACAATGGATTTCTTATAATAAATGTCAAGTCAAGATCCAGGTAGGAAAGGGATGTAGGCCAGATAGAGGAGGATGTGTGGGATGATATCCTGACCAATTTCCACCTTTGCAAACATGGCCATCTCCAAGCTCACCCCCGGGATGGACTACAATCTCATGTTTAGTTTACTAATTTGTATTGAGATTGTAGTCTATCCTGGGAGTGAGCTTGGAGCGGAGACTACTTTACAACACACACAGGAACCATGGGGAACAAAAGTAGCCCCCCCCCTTCAGAAGGAAGGACAGTGTCAGCACCTACTCAGAGATGATTTGAGGATCTACAGCCGAGTGATACACAAATAAGATACATTTTTGTTAATAGTTAAGGTTCTTGAATGCGTTTTTAAGATTTTACTCCTGAGTATAGTGTCACTTTAAGCCCCTCTAGTACCAACAGAACACCTATAAATATGTAGTCCCAGTATAATTAATATGTCTCCTATGCTTATGATACAATGAGCTATTTAAAGGAGAACTATGAAGGGGGGGGGTGCTTTTCGCTCACCTCATAGTTCTAGCCGACCTGTGACAATGAGACTGTCACAGGTCGGCTCAGTAGATCGGGAGGTGAGCGAACACATACCGGCGTTCGCTAACCCCTGATCCTGTCACAGCTCTCCTCGCTCCGATCCGCCAGCGCTGACTGGCGGAGCGGGTGGGTACAGCTGGCTCTGCCTCTAGATAGGAAGAGCCAGCTGTCACTCACGCAGCTGGGCGGATCCAGACATAATTGTCGGGATCCGCTTCAGCTGCGGCGTCTCAGTGCTCGCGGTAATAGATATACTGTGGCGTCTCGGTATATAGTGAGCTGCAGCTCGCGGTATACTGAGCCTAGGGTGACGGGAGGACGCTAGTTTGTGTCCTCCCGTTACCCTAAGGAGAACTATGGGGAAAAGCCTTAACCCCATAGTTCTCCTTTAATTCTGTATATTGTGATGTTTTTCTGCTTGTATATCTGCCCTCAGTTGTCTGTTTCTCATTTGTATAACTGCAATATTCTTTGCACTGATGTGGATGTGTGACGTGGAGATGTTAAATGCTGAATAATTCAATAAATAATTATAGACTGTAGTTGTAAGTGAAGCCTTCATTATAAAGGGAGCAAATAACCTAACAACTATGAGAAAGCTCATCACTGGCCTAACTCCAGGCAAAGGTTTGGATTTTGTAGCTTTGGACTTAGTGAAGTGGTCAAAACTCATAGCCCCATTGGTGAGATTTCGGAGGTGTGGTTGTCACTGGGACAGGGCAGGAAGGCACAGACAGCAATAAAAAAACATTGTCAGAGGTTGTAAGCCTTTCCCACTCTACTAAAAATGTGTGTGTCCCCATTAAAAAAGATATTCCAGCACTTCCTGTCTTGACAGGAAGTGAGGGGAGATCTCCTCGGCAGGGAACTTGGACAGCAATAAAAAAAAAAAATTGGCAAATGCTCTAACTCTTCCCCATTCTGTTAAGAAAATGCAAAGTTCTGGTTAATTTTAAACTGTTTAAAAAAAAACCTGTCTTAAGAGAAAAATGGGGACTTCCATTCCTGGCCTCTTTCTGAAAATGCGAACTGTCTGGCTGTCTCTGAACTCTGCACTTTCTTTGTTCACTGATCTGAAACGAGGCTGCAAATCAGAAGTCTTTATTTGCTTCATTGTCTCAAGCCAGTGACTTAAAGTATTGAAGGATGAGACTCAGCATGACAGCCCAGCAACCAGCATTTCCAGAAAGAGGCGTCAGCAACGCCGGCCTCCATTTTCCCTGTGCCAGGTTTCCTTTAATAACGTGGTTCTTATTTGTCAGTTTATTGGAGGAGTTGGCATGCAGTTTAATTATGATCTCACGCTCTCCTACTTCAGGGACACGGTGAGTATTTTCAGAGGACGTGTCCGGAACCTGATCATTAATCCTTTCCTCCTTTTTTTTTTTTCTCTTTCCAGCCTATATGCTGCCTCTCTTCCTCCCATTCCCAAATGATCATCTGCACTAAGCCGGAGACGAGGAGCGAGATACCTGAGGAGTGACGCCATTTTGTAACTACTGTAAGTGTGCACCACGTGCGATTCTTACCTCCCACTTGCCACCACATTATAATGATGATTGGTTGTGTCTGGTAGCCATATTGAATCGTTGGTCCAACCAAAAGGGATATTTGAGCATTGGGATATTGTTTTGGGTGTTTCCGCTTCTCCTGTTGTGTTTTTCATAATATCATTTCAATGAATAGATTAGTGAGAATGGGGCCACCATGTAATGGCCCCAACGGATGTGTAGACCTGGAAACTCAAGCAGAAGGCTTCCACCAATATGGTCGCAGCGATAGGAGAACCTTTGGGTGATTTTGATTCTCTACCAGCCACCACAAATGTAAATGTCTCATCTGGGTGGCATGAACTTTCCATTGCAATAGGATTTTATTGGAGTCTGAAATATATTATATTACCCGTCCACATTTTATAGGTTACAATCACCCCATCAACACAGACTGATGTTAAGATCAATATACTTTGAGGGCATGCTTCTTTGTGGATACAGGCCTGGAGTTATAGTAGCAGTTGTACTCTTTTGAATTAGTGTTGATGGGCTTTGTGCTTTAGTTGATGGGCAAATTTAGTTTTCTTGTGCTTCCGCTGGCAATTGAGATCAGTTTTAGACACTTCTTAAGAGTATATTGACTGCAGTTGACTTCCTTCTGATCTGCAGTTGGCCTCCTTCCAAGCTGCTTTTGCATTCCCATTGACTATGGGGAGAAGGGTAGTTCTGACACAAACAAAAGCCCATTGACCCTGGCCTTTATTTAATGCCATGAGTATGCCTGTTCAACTTAACCCAAGACATTTCTGTGCTTTGGCTCATCCATATGGTTCTAACCTCCGCTCTACTTAGGATTTATTCAGCTCAGCCTATGTTGGCTCATAATCAATATATGAATGGAGAGTAACCTGAACTTTTAACCAGTTTAAACCAGTCTGTTGGGCTCTTGAATCAGTTTTGTTCAATTTGAATTGTTCATCTTGGTGAAAATGTAGATATATTATTCTTTTCATTGCCAGGATGACCCGTTCCTACACAGCCCTCAGTTATACATTCTTCTGTAATGGCAAACTTTACTGCATCGGTCTTGACGCTCCTTGACTTTGGGTGACAGTGCAGCAACGTCGCCCCATTTACAGATTGTCATTCCCCTGCTCTATATGTCCTTTGACGAGTGGCCCGCTATTGCACTGTCAAGAGGCATAAATGAGGGGCTGTGCGAAATATTCTCTAAGACGGAAGCGCATTGTAATATAGTTTTGTAATGAAGGTCTGGATACTTTTGTCTACAAGGTCTATAGAAAGCTATGTAAGCGTTCTATAAACAGCCCTGTACAGTAGTAGACAGCATACTTAGCTGAATCCACAGCTTGCCACGATTTTTACATTCCACAAATGAAATATTCTTGTGGAAGGCGAGTCATTTTCCACCGCCCGGCTTCCTGATTGGTTGGGAAGCATTCTCCATGCTGTTTGGCCGCATCAATACTGATTGGCCAGGATGCCGGCTTCCCAGCTAATCAACATGGAGCTGGCTTCCCTTGCCTGTCAGGGAGGCAGGTCATTACCCACCGCCCGACTTTCTGATTGGCGTGGGAAGCCGGCACCATGCTGATTGGCTGGGAAGTACTCGCCCAAACACTCGGTATCGGCACCAATACCAGATACTAGTATCGGTATCGGTGCATCCGTAGTTTCTATGAAGTGGGCCTGGGGAGTGAGGTTGCAGTGAAGAGGACAAAAGTAAGCTTAAAAGCCCCCTACTACAACACTTTGAAGTGCTTCATGTTTCAGTGACCGCAGACCTTGAAGTAAAGTGCGAGCTCACATCTAACAGCAGCCTTCCTTTTTCTTGTATTGTTTCTACCAGAAGTCCTTGAGAAATGAAAACCCCCCCCCCCCCCTTTCCCGTATGTGATAAACATCACTTACATTCGCATAATCAGTAATGTATGGACTAATTAGATTTTTCCTCGCATTCCCTTATCTTTGCAGTGTCTGCTCTCAGAACTATATCTAAATTGGTTCCACAATGCCTCGTCTTTTATCTGTGCCCCGGTTAGGCCGTATGGTGCATAAAGCGGCTTCCTGCTCACCATCTACCTGGGTCAGATCTCTCCTTCCTGTCTGCTCGGGAAACGTAAAGTCCACATTCACTCTGTCGATGGTTTTCATTGACATTTTCTCAGTTTTTTTAGTAATTACTTGTCTGTCTCTAATTTCTGGATTCTTCATTTTGTCCTGCTGGCCCCCGCCTGCTCCTTCTTATTTTACTAATCACTGGGGCTGTACATGCATGAAGCCACAAGGGGCTACCTTACAAAATTCCCTCTGGAATCATTCAAACTTGATTGTAACGGCAAGTCATGCGGTGTATTATTATCGTTATTACAGGTATTTATATAGCGCCGACAATTTGAGCAGTGCGTTACATAGTGCACAATGACATCAGTCTCTGCCCTGAAGGAGCTTTCAATCTAAGGTCCCTATCTCACATGAATTGGCCAATTTAGACATGAGCCTATTAAACTGCCAGTGCACAGCTTAGAGCATCCACAGGAGTTAAAAAGCACATGCAGGGAAGTCTAAAGGATGTTTAGGGATTACCTTTAAATAGGAAGTCAGACTTTCCCCAAATGAGGACACACAATCACACTAACTTACCCTTGCAGTGGGACTACCCCCGCACTGCAAGGGTTAAGTCCTTGCTTTGTATAGGGGGCTCAAATAAAACAGATATACTCACCTAAACCTCAGTCTCACTGGCTCCCTCTTGGCTGTTAGGCCAGTTCCTTCAGCCTCTTCTCCCCTGGGCTCTGGCAGTCTAAAGACCGCTGGCGTCATCATGTCTTTTGCAGGTCCATTGACCTTTTATTTTCTTGGACTTTTTCTTTAAAAACCAAATCCAGGTTTCATATGCCCCTGCCCCTGATTTTGTCATTTTGTCCCGGATTACTGTGAGCCCAGGCTGCCATGATGACTCTCCCCTAGAGGGTGTGTCCATGACGGCCTGGACTCACAGGAAGTGGTTATGGATAAGGATGCACCGATATCGCTATTTCGGTATCGAGTACCGATATTTTTTTCCCAGGACTCACCGATACCGAGTAACGGTAGTCCCATTCAGGAAGCCAGGTGGCATGTAATGACTCTCCACCTGGCTTCCTGATTAGCCCGGAAGCCGGGCTGTGTGTAAAGACTCGCCACCCGGCTTCCCTATTAGCAGGGAAGACGTCCCCATGCTTCTCGTCACTAGGTGACAAGAAGCATGGAGCCGGCTTCCTGATTGGCCCGGGAAGCAGGCTCCATGCTCCCATGTCATGAGGCTTCCAGATTGGCTGGGAAGCCGGCTCCATGGTCCCTTGTCACAATGACGCGCTGCCCGGCTTCCTGATACCGGAAGTATCAGGCTAGGCATCTGAGCATTTGGGTGAGTACTCACCCAAATACTTGGCAATTGGCACCGATACCGATACTAGTATCAGTGCATGCCTAGTTATGGATGACAATAAATGTCATGCAACCCAGGAGAGGAGCAGTGCTGGATCGCAGAGTAATCAGACTGCTGGGAACAGTTTTGGGAGTAGGTGGGCGATGGATTTTTCATTGTAAAAATGTCAATAATAATAATGGACTTTAACCCTTCACACACTAAAAAAAAAGTTTGGACTTACTAGTTTTACTTGTGCACCTGAGCATAGGGGACCTGGGTTCCCGAGATTACGGGAGGACACCATCATTTGTATTGTTCTGCGCTTGCTTAAGCTTCCTCCTACCACCAAAAAATACTAATCTATTGTCAACTAAGTTTAGTATGCGCGTGTAAGAGAAACGTTCGATCGTGTGCTCCTTTGAGGGCAGGCGCTGGTGGGTATGGCCCCGTGTTCCCTGTAAAGGCACTTCAGATCAGCGCTTTACAAACTGAGTAGAATAAATACATTATACAAATTCTTTCCTTTACATCCTCAGCCTCAGGAAATTCGCTGCTCAGCAACAACTGGAAGCCCCCGACACCAAACAGCGACCCATCTGAATGTGTTTGATTTGATTACGACGGCCTCGCACAGCCGATATGCCGTCCTCTCCCCGCGCGGCATGCTACGAGAATAAAAGATTTTTATTTGAATGACAAATATCTCCGTAAAAGAGAGGCCAGAGCTGTTCCAAAACAAAGGAAATCCACAGCGCGCCCTGGGTAATAGGAATATATTATTCAGGGGTAAGCTCGTCTGCCTGTCTGCTGGGTATTCCCTGTATAGAAGCCAATCTATAGGATGAGATTCACAGCCGTGTCCCCAGAATCGTATTAAGCAAATAGATTCAGCCCAGCGAAAGGTCAGGGTGATTGTCAGGTGCACGCGGCGCAGTCGGCTTATCAGCTGCGCCCCGCCATTGATTGAAATAGATTGGGCAAGGCTGGGCTGCTGGGAAACAAATCCACATAGACCTGGGACTTCCGTAGCCGATGGGAACCCCCTGGGGACAAGCTGTCCATGTCAGAGAAATGCGTCGGTGCGCTGCTGCTGAATCCTGAGGCACTGTCGCTGCACACACAAGTACGGATTTCAGTGACATCCTAAAGGCCAGGTGCCCATGAAACTGGTAGTTTGGTTGAGGGTGCGCATGGTGCACTGGCATTAATGGCATTTCCAGCCAACACTTATTTTTTTAATAAGTCAAATAAGAAAGAGTGGGGAGGAATGAGAACAATAGTCGGGTTTGTATTTTGGTTTGGAAGATTCAACCTCACTTTTTGTCATATTTGTCAGGGTTCCACAAGTACAGGAAGTGATGAGAGGCATCCCTCTAATGGGGACATAGAGTGCAAGAAAAGCACCTTTGACTTTCCCAGTGGACTTTTCACTATCTTCACTTGTCTGCATGAATAAATTCCTGATATGTCAAAATGTAGGGCAAAGGTCCAACTTTTATTATTAAAAGGCCATCCTAGGGCGCCAGTCAGTAACTTTGCCTAGGCTGGGATGATGTCATCAGTCTGTTGCAGGCAGGAGGAAGCATTTGATCAATCTCCTCTCCCCCAGTGATCAGTCTGCTGCAGGCAGGAGGAAGCATGTCATCAATCTCCTCTCCCCCAGTGATCAGACTGCTGCATGCAGGAGGAAGCATGTCATCAATCTCCTCTCCCCCAGTGATCAGTCTGCTGCAGGCAGGAGGCAGCATTTCATCAATTTCCTCTCCCCCAGGGATTAGATGCAACATTGTAACTTTGTTAAGGGGCTACAGCAGGGGACGATATGTGTCAGTTTTGTGAATACAGCGGGAAAACTGCACAGACACCAGGATTTACATGATTGTGCCATCTCTGAGCTGGCATTTCAGTCCAGGAAAGTAGATAGATGGTGACCCTGGAGAGCAGATGAAGGCATTTTCAGGGGGAGTAATGTGATCACTGTGAGAGGTAATAAATAACTGGGAGTGATATACTCACACATTACTAATCATGCATTTGCCGAACATGATTTGGAGACCTTAGGGGCCGGGGCAAAATTTCTCGACCCCCTCATGGGGTCTTAATGAAGTTGTTGCTCTCTCTCGTAGCAGACTCCCCGATTATATACCCTCCCCATTGTACTGGGGAGGGTACACTGAGAGGTGGTCCTATTCTGTTCCCTTTTGGCTGAGAGGTGGGCTCACACTGTTATGCTTTGACTGAGAGGTGGCCATATGTTGCTCTCATTTCCCTAATAAAACGATTTCCCTTGCCATCCTATCCGGGAGAGTGTCACAAGTACAGGAAGTCACAAAGAATCTCCCATGGGAACAGTTAATAAAAACCCTTAAGGGTCTAACCCCTCTCCACTCTAAACAAAACCAAATAAAAATGTTGTCAGGAGTATGCTCTGCTCTTCAGCTGACCAGTTGTCAGGTATAGTCCTCTCCTGGGTCAAAAATAAATGTGCTTGTAGAGAGTCCTGATCCAACTGCCCCAAGGGTAAGGTCTTGCAAGAGCCCGGTAGAGCACTATGTTAAGTTGTAGTCTTGGAGAAACTTTCTATGTAGAAGGGGAAAGGTACGGAGTGGAAGTGGATGCCAGTGAACATTAGTGCACACCTGCAAGAAATGTTCTACATAAAAAGGGGCTGGTGGTAGAGGGAGGCACCTAGGTAGGCTTACAGGATAGAATGAGCTCTATGTGGACACCACTAGTGTGATGATGTTCCCTAGTGTTCCATAAAGCAATGGAAGGCAAGACAATGCCTCTGAGTCTGCAGAATTTCAGACTCTTAAATTATTATCACATTTCTTATACTTTGCAGCCATATAGCAGAGTGCCATCCTTGTGTTTTGTTTCTGTGGAACTCTACTTTAACATACACTATATTGCCAAAAGTATTGGGACGCCTTTACACACACATGAAGTTTAATGGCATCCCAGTCTTAGTCCGTAGTGTTCAGTATTGGGTTGGCTCAGGCCTTTGCCGCTATAATAGATTCAACTCTTCTGGGAAGGCGTCTACAAGGTTTAGGAGTGTGTCTATGGGAATGTTGGGCCATTTGTGAGGTCAGGTACTGATGTTGGATGAGAAGGCCGGGCTCGCAGTCTCTGCTCTAATTCATCCCAAAGGTGTTCTATTGGGTTGACGTCAGGACTCTGTTCGGCCAGTCAAGTTCCTCCACCCCAAACTCCCCCATCCATGTCTTTATGGACCTTGCTTTGTGCACCAGTGTGCAGTCATGTTGGAACAGGAAGGGGCCATCCCCAAACTATTCCCACAAAGTTGGGAGCATGAAATTGTCCAAAATGTCTTGGTGTGCTGATGCCTTAAGAGTTCCCTTCACTGGAACTAAGGAGCCAAGCCCAACCCCTGAAAAACAACCCCACACCATAATCCCCCCTCCACCAAACTTTACACTTGGCACAATGCAGTCAGGCAAGTATCGTTCTCATGGCAACCGTCAAACCCAGACACGTCCATCGGATTGCCAGACAGAGAAGTGTGATTGGTCACTCCAGAGAACACGTCTCCACTTCTCTAGAGTCCAGTGGCGGCGTGCTTTACACCACGGCATCCCACGCTTTGCATTGCACTTGGTGATGTAAGGCTTGGATGCAGCTGCTCGGCCATGGAAACCCATTCCGTGACTTTTGTATGAGGACAATATTTGTTTAGTCTGGAATTCAACTTTAAAGTTCAGGCCCTACTTCCTGTTCTATCTGATACTGGTCTAATAGGCAGGAAGTGGGGAGATTTTTGCTGTCTTCTTGTACTGTCCAACAGACAGGAAGTGAGGAGAATCTCCCGAATTCATGTTGATCCATCAAAAAAAAGTTTACAG